GATGTTAAACAGCACAGGTCCCAAGGAAGGCTGTCCGGTGAGGCTGCACATCAAACTCACCTGGGTACAGACATGGGGTGCACATGGGATGGACCAAAACCCTTAGGGGCTGCTCTCTTTCACTGCTATTTTGGCTTAAACCAACACTGAGCAGAGGAGGTTGCAGGGTTCTTGGATGCTCTTACACCGCGCCTTGGAGAGCAGAACAGGTCTGAAATCCCAAGCGAGATGGGAGGGAAGTGGACGGACCTCGGGGTCTGGGGAAGTGGCACAAGGAGACACCAAAGTCAAGGGTCTCCAGACAGTAAAACAGATGGAGGAAGGCGGGCACCCAGGACCTAGCTGTAGTTGAAGAGATGGTTGAGAGGAGGCCCTGGGCTGGGAACCTCTAGGACAGGATGGATGCCAAGGGATGGCCAGGACTGGGAAATACCATGGGGCAGGAAAGGTGGGAGTCCCTATTGCTCACTATTGCCATTTCTCCACCTCCTCTCTGCTCTCAAGACCATGGCAAACCCCAGGAGGGCAGTGTTGGTGGAGAGAGCACCAAAAAACGACTTGAAGCTTCAGCTGGGAACCACAGCCCCTCTGGCACCCATATGGCCCCAGAAACAGCCCTCAGCACCCCAGGCTGCAGCACTGCTGGGGACAGCATGGGGCAGAGGGACGGAGCTGCGGTACCTGTCTCCAGGTGAGCCGCGCTGGAGCTCAGCCCGGCATTGCAGTGCAGCACGCCCCGGCACAAGCCCAGAGCACGGTCTGCATCAGCTCAACAACTGGAACTAATCATCTGGCCTGCGCTCAAGGCTCCCCTTTCCTTGGCTGCGCTCTGCTGTTTCCGTCTTGCCTGGCTACTTTCTGCTGTCACTGGAGCCTTTCTGCTCCAGGGTGGCCGAGCTCTCCTAACTTTCTGCTTTGCTTGACACCGTTGCAGCTTCTTTGCCTTCCCTGCAAAGTGCCTAGGGGATCTTGCACACCCTGGCACACGCTGCATCGACGCTGCCTTGTCTTTGCACGCGGGGTGAAGCTGGGTGTTTGCCCTGCCCAGGGTATGGCTGTGTGAATCCTCCTCTGCCACTTCGTGTGGCATCATCTCGATCTAGATCGTTACATCGCTTGCCTCAGCTGGGTCCGTGGATTCACTTCCTCTGTGGGGAAGGCGTTTTGACCACTGCTGTGCTCTCCAGATCCCAGCACACCGTCTCTCCATTCAGCCTCTCACAGGGCATCGCCTCAGCGGGGTTGCCCTGGCGCTATCTCCCTGCGGCAGCACTGCAACCACCCGCCTCGCCAGCACGATGCTCCCACTGACCCTGACACCCATTTTCCTTAAAACCAGCATTTTGCAGTAAAGCTGGAGGCGGCATGTGAACGCCCGTGCATGTGCAAACACAGGCGCATGCGGGGCTGCGTTTGTGCCTGCTCGTGTGCGCCTTCCTGAGCGGGTGCCTGTGCCCGAGCACGGGACAAACCCTGGCTCTTTTCCACAAGCCCTGCTTTTAAGGTAAATTTTAGCGTAAATTAGAGCACCCCCATGGGCACACCTTTTTAACCTGTTTTAGCTAATGCCCACCTGGCATTTGAAGGGAAAATTTGCGTTGTTTACATCTGTAGCCACGGAGACACCACGATGCCTTTCACAGGCTGGCTCTCTCTCCCCGGGTTGCCCCCCCCCTGCCGTATTCTCTCATGCTTTGCCGTTTGCGGTTGCAGACGCATCAGCTGGCCCCGTTTCTAGGGGGTTTTTGCAATCATTTCACAATCCCCTGACACCACGACCAGCACATCAAGGAGTGCTGCGGAAGGCAGGGCTGGCCTCACAGGGCTGGATGCAGTGCGGCCCCAGCAAACCCAGGGCTGCCTCCAGCTCCCCCCACAGCAACCCCGTCTGACTCCCAGCGCGTGGGGGTCAGTACCAAGGCTCCCAGCAAAGCCCAGGCCACAGCCTCACTAATAATTTGGTCCAATTCTGTTTTCCCAAAGCAGCCGGGAGCACAGAAACCCTGCTTGAGCGAGTGGTGCTTGTCCAGGGAGGTTCGGAGTCGGAGGCAAAAGGCACCATGCACAAAACCGTTTGGTGTGCCCGTTGTGGGGATGGATGAGCAGAGAGGATGGCTTCATCTTG